CAATTTCGGCACGCCACTTCATACCATCCACAGACTAACGGGCTCACAAAGCGCATCAACAGGACCCTCATTTACATGCTCGCTATGTACGTTGACTCGCAGCACAAGAACTGGGACCCAATTTTCCCTTTTATGACACAAGCCTACAATACTGCACTACATGAGACCACCGGTTCTAGCCCGTTCTAGCTGCTCTACAACCGTCCACCATGCACAACTGTTGACAACATTGTCCCATTTTTGAAGCAGGAAAAGCCACCTATCGCTGAAGCACTCTGTCGGGCATAAAAAGCAGGACACATCGCTCGTCTCCGTACTTTGGCATTCAAAAACTATTTGAAGGCTCGCTACAGTAAGCAACATCGACATGTCTTTTACAGTAAAGGAGAGAGGGTGTGGCTGTGGGTTCCATACCACAAGCGTGGCTTCTGCCAAAAGTTTCCGGCCCGCTACACGTATCCCTTTGTCGTCGCGCCTTAGTGATAATACGTACGCCATATCACGGATCCCATCTACCGGTCATTCATTCAGAAAACCTGACGTTGTACATGTCGACTGTTTGAAGCCATATCGTGCTCGCAGTACACACTGACTCGACCGGTGGGCATCGTCTGCACCAAGGGAACTGATACCGTACTTTGAACGAAGTATAGAAGAGAAGCAATTAGACTCTCACTAGGCTAAGCCTTCCGCGGCCATCTATCACCTTGCCCAGTGAAATAAACATCTCTCACCGTAACAATATTTTTATCACTGTGAGGAACAAAGAAGAAAAAAAAAGAAACTGTTTTCATCTTCCAGCATGGTGAGGCCACCGAAAGCATTGATACCCAGAATACTAACACGTCATGCTCAATACAATCATTTGAAACAAATAATGCGCCCACTCAACTTCAAGTATATAAACGCTTCTATATTGCAACAACAATGTGACCGAGGCACTACTCTCCACTGGTGAGAATTGTCTGAACCAATGGTTGCAACAGCAATCATTCGTGCCTCTCGCCAGCACAGGGCTGCCACCGCTGGGTGGGGCACAAAGGAAAAAAGTCGCTTGTTGTCAACCGGTCTATTGCAGGGTGCGGTGGCTGGATCAAGACGTTTCGCTACTTTTGCAAGCTAGAGGGACTTATAGCGGTTTCCAGTGACCTTAACATGGAGGCGTTTGCTGCCTGACAGAAGCAAGAAAATCCGAGCGCTTTACTAACACTCTTTTCTGATGTTTAGGGTTTTGCATGGTTGACGTCGGATGGTTTTATTGTAGGTTCGTGAATGTGACAACCCCACTCGTTCTTGCCGGCTCCCATATGATGAGTCGGATGTTCGTAAGATTGCATTTGGTGTGCGTTACATTGTTTTGCGTGTGGTTGTTTTACATGTGTGTTTTTCGTCACTTTTCTTGTATTTTAGGATGTTTGTTAGCACCAGCTGCAGGGATGGGCTGAGGTTAGCTGTAGCTCATGGCATATTTTTACACGCATGGGTGCTTTTTTGCTGACCAGCATATCTGTAGTGATTTGGCACATGTTTCTCGAGACTCTACAAGACGAAGGGGACACACACACATCTGGTCTAGTCTAGAAAAATCTGCGCTAAATTACTTCAGATATATTGTTCCAACAAGGCCAAAGGTCAGCCCTTGCAGACCAGTACAAGCTAAATTAAGGAGAGGAGGACGCGGGGATCGGAGCGTGCCTGAAGCATTGGCACAGGCATTTCTTTTTTTCTGCTGATACCTGCCCTCTCCCGTTCACTTCAACAACAAGTGGAGCCACCATTTTTAGTGTGAAACCTGTTATGAGATCACAACAAGGGATGTTCTTGGCGCCATAGTTGTCTGCCGCGGCCGCTGGCGTCCTTAACCACGGCTATGCAAAATAAGAAAAAAAAAACTAAGTAACGGAAAAATACCGAGAAAAAAATGGTATTTGAACCCGGGTGCCCTACGTGTCAGCCCAGTATTTTACTACCGAGCTACACCAATGCTTGACACTCAGGCTTCATGATGGGAAAGCAATTGCGTTAATACGTGTAATGAAGCGTTTTAAAACAGGAAAGCAACAACCCATCGTCATACAGTGAGAACTGCATAACAAGTGGGTTGTCGAATGCTTCAACCCATTACAAATGCCACAGGGATAATTCTTTGTCATCAACTACAGCATTGAAAAATTGCACGAAATTCCCTACAAGTGTAGCAAGCTTCTTCAAAGAATGACGTAGTGGATGCCTCCCACAATAATTATGATGGTTAATAGCATAGTGGGTACCCTGCAAGTGTGCTTTTAGCAGTAACCCAAAGAGTGTTTAAAAAAGGCTCTTGCAAGGCTGCCCTTTCAGCTTTCACTATGACTGTGTTGCGCCTTCCAAGCATGCTTGGTGGTTTTTCTTGTGTGGCACTGCACGCAGTCTCAAATACTGGAGATTCGGCATGACGTGTGCACCAGGACGAATCTCCCTGCTGCACCGTAAGGACGTGTTTACTTCTCTGACCAACGACCCCTTTGAAACGCCGGACTGCACACTTTGTACTTTGCCCTGTAGCACTTGACACATGCGCAAGTGACAGCGTGCACGGTTCTGTGGCTTGCCAAGCCTCGACCTTCAGTGGGGTCTCTACACCAAGGGCATAGCCAGGGGGTGGCACACCGGGCATGTGCCTTTCCACCCGAAATGTTTTTTGCCATGGCATAGAGAGCAAAAAATGACCATTTCAAGGGGGTGCCCCTTCCAAAATAAAGGTGGTGTCCCCCCAAAAAAATTTACGGCTATGCGCCTGCTCTACACTGGTGACTTACGAGGCTATCGCAACCCATGAAACCGGCAGACAATTAAGCCAAGTAAAGCATAGGGGGCATGACGTATGTGTGGCTCCTGAACTGTAGTGTAATGAGTCTTAACTAAAGGAAAATATGTTGATGTGGATAAAAATCAACGTACCCTTATGTGGTATTTGAACCCACAGCCTTCTAATTATGTGTTTGATGGCCTACAATCTGAGCTACGATAAAGGGCGCTCTCTCATCCACTTTTTGTAAGATATTAAAGAGTGCTTAACACTTCATAATGTTAGCCCGTGCCCCTCGTAGCCAAGGTGATGAGTGTGAACACTTTTGTTTTTACCGAAGCATGTCACAGAGCCTGCCATCTTCGGCTTGTGACTGGCAGATGACCGATAAACCCTCCTATGCCTAAGGTAGCATGTGAGGATGTTTTTTTTTTTTTTTTAAAGAAGCCATCGCTGTGAAAGTACAAAAAGGGAATTGTCCGAGGAGCTCATTTTCTATATTATCTAGTGACAATGACAGCCAATAGACCTACTCCATGTTTGTAAACACCAGCAGGCTCCATTGATTTTGTACGGGGCTCTTGTAGCAATGCCACAGAGCCATCTAAGCTCAAACCTCACTACCGCTCTCCATGACCACGTGACAACTGGTGCAGCAGGTGTAAAAGCTGCCTCCGAGCACCACATGTCGGTGCACTTTCCACATGCTTAGAAGTGGTGGTCACAAGAAAATAAGTTGCAGTGGCTATAAGACAAGCTCTTAACTGAACATACGACTCATATTGACGTGTAGTCCCAGTTCTAGGAATGTAATCAAAACCTTATGTATCTAACAGCAGTAATGTGACTCACTTGTGAAACGTCATCATCATTGCCGCAGTCTAGGTCATATGTGTGCATTTTGATTTGTCAACTAATGCAAGAATGACTGACCCAGTAGAGCAATAGTCTTTTGGGTACGATATAAAAATGCACAAAGTAAAAATACATAGTTAGGAATCATCACGGTAAATCCTCGCATATAACAAACGTGCCGGAAAAGTTATTCAAGCAAACGACAAGGGCGATCTCGCCGACACTTTCATGCGGTGATACGCTCACTTTTACATTTCAACTATATCTTATGGACAATGTGGTCAGTTGAAGGGATAGTTCCTTCGATATCTTGCATAAGGGAGCACCGATTTGGTTAGAAAAAAAACATACGAAAGAAAGGACGCTCTCTGTTGTGTATTCTTTTTTTGAAAAAATCCGTGCTGCCCTAAGCAAGACAATGCGATCACATACCTGTCAAATCCACGGCGCCCTTCATAAACTCAAGTCGAGACTGAAAAACGCCTACAGCTCGTAAACAGGCTCTGCAAGTTTCCCGAGTGCTGTTTTTCTGTGAATTCTGGCTGACATAAAATCTCATGAAGCGCACTTCACCCAGAAGAGCCCTGTCCGATACAATTGCATCAGGTGTGTAATCGCAACTGCATAGAATCAAGAAAAGAATAGTCGAAGTTATCGTTTTATTTACTGCTGCTTTGATGAACCGTGCCCACCCAGAAAGAAACATGTGCTCCATGACTGATTTCACTCCAGTTAACGAAATCATTTTGATGCATCTAATATTTTTGCAGTTCAATGGCAACCACGAAAAATTTCCTGCATATGAAATCCCCAACATGAATGTGTTGTGAAGTAAACGTGGTCGCTGTGCCTCTACACAAGGCTTATTCAAAAAAGAAAAGCCATGAGGCACATCACAATGATGAGAGATGAAGCGGCATTGAAGACAAGTTCTTGCACTTTACAGCTGCGGGTAACTTCTTGCGACGGTAACTGTAAACAGCGAGCTGGAAAAAAACAATCTTACTATTCCATGTTTCTAGTGTCTTTCCGGGCGTATAACCATGGCAGCTCATTGGTACAGCGTTTTTACTGCCACATGACGAACAGTGCACGCACACGCAACGAAAACACAGCAACAATAGGGGTAGGCACAACACCCAATGACAGTGCCATCGCATTGTCATCATGTGTTCGACGGAATTATTTTATCGGGAACTTTATTTGTGGTGTGTTAAATGTAGTCCAATGATTCTAACTTAAACTGAAGGGAATTGAAGTGGATGAAAAACCCCCTTTCCTTCATAAGACTCATAACACACTAGTGCAATAAACAGTCGCACCAATTAGACAAGAGGAGTGCTAGTGCTCTACGTACGTCTTTGACAGGTTGACACCCGCCTTCATAATGCTGTCGATTCGGAGTGAGCTCACATAGGCAATTTTCTCATTGTCTCCAGGCTGCTGGCTCTCTTCTTCTTCTGCTTCTTCTTCTTCCTCCTCCTCCTCTTCATCCTTCCAATAGAAGTGTAACCCCATCACCAAGCTGCCCAAATGCTCCAAACTAACGGCAAAAACTTTACCAGCTTAAGACATCTGTCTACACTGGCATTGTAAGAAGGCTGCATAAAAAGGAAGCAGATAGGTCCTATGGTGATATCTCGGAAATAAAAAAAAATGATGAAACCTTGAACAGCACAACTGCAAACCAGCGTGAAGCACTAAGCATTCGTCTGTAATGCCACGCTCGAGGGCATGTGTTATGAAATGAGACTAAAATGCAGCAAGGCAGTGTAAGCAAAACAAGAGCAAAACACTTCTTGGCACCTTAAAATAGGTACTTCCACCAGAGCTGTGACAGTTAATTGGAATTCCTCTGGTACCAACTACACTGTGTCCCATACACTATACGTGAGCCATTGTGCAATACAAATACCTTGCTTGTGGCATGCATATCCAGATATATTCAAGCAGTAGGCCCTCTCTTGCCACCAATTAAAAGCAGGCAAGTCAACATGCTGCCCAGTGACCCTGCCTCCCATTGCTGCCTGGCCGGGTGCCTCAACATACTGGAGATGACAGCCCTTGGATGAATGCCCCCAAACAATGCTACTTAAGATCTATTCGGTTGGTGGCTCCACATTGTGGTCAAACCAAAAACTATTCATGTTCAAACAGCTTTTCGTGCTTTTTTTGGGGAGGTCACAACCTGTGTCATGTTGGTTGACACTCTTCAATTGAAGGAATGTGTTTCACAACCCATGCAAGTACACTTGTGCTATTTAAAAGACAGGAGGCAAGTTTACAGAATCAGCACAGGGACTATGCATATGACAGATTAAACCTCAGCATTTAGAAATCACTAGAGTCAAAGCTTGGGCTTGTTGGTTACTACTAATTAAAACCATGCACAGCTCGTGCTTTCAGAGCTGCAGTTTCTACACTCCACCATCAAAATTTGTGCCACGTTAAACAATTCTGCTCCCTCCATAAACATAATTTATTTGTTATCATTGAGGAACAAGTCCTAAAACAGCATGTACGACTGGCTTCTTTTGTCTGTGTTGTTGGAGATCTTGAGCCCTTTTCAACAAGATCATCAACTATTGAGAAAGTCGAGGCTTGGGCGAGTTGGTACGTAGTGAAAAGAAGAGAAAAACAGCACTGAAGCTTTGAGAAACACCAAGAAGACGGGCCACGACAGTCTTCCTGTGTGTTTGTTAGAAATTTCACCGCCGTTTTTCTCTTTTTTCCAATACACACTAGCGGGCCGATATATCTGATGATGATATATGGTGTTTTTTGGTGCAAGGGCCATTTGATGGCCAAAGAGTGCCAGTTCATGGGACAAGGAATGTGGACAATGATTGTGATTAGCGGCTGTATAAGGGCCATAAAATTCCTCGCAGTAAGGCGGGTAAAAACATACAAGTAATAAAATCATGACCATGCCGTGAAAGGTGTGTGTGGTGTGAATAGGTGACAAAAGTTGGTGATAATGAAAAACAATGGTGGACATGTATGGCATTAGCAGAAGTACCTCACACGTTAGTACCCTTGCGTCCAAGGGCCGTGAGGCAAGAGCTTTCCTGTGTAGCCACCGCAGCAAAAACCTCTCTGGAGAGGTTGTGCTACGGAATGCCCGGGTGTATGATATGAAAATTATGAATTTCTTTTAAAAACGCTAACAATGATTTATTACTAAAAAGTGGTTCCCTGCCAACGAACATTGCAGGGTGTAGAGGTATATGTTGTTGGTAGGATAATAGAAAGTGTTGTCTTCTTAGAGTGTCTAAATGTTTACATTGAATTAAAACGTGAAGAACTGATAATGCCTCACCACATTTATCACACAATGGTGGATCACCACCGGACAAAAGATGTGTGTGTGTCGTGTATGTGTGTCCTATCCTGAGTCTTGTTAGTGTTACCTCTGTTAGACGTGATTTTGATACTGGTGGCCAATGGCCAAGGTGTGGCTTGATAACGTGTAGTTTGTTTTGTGTGTGTGTATCCCACTTGCTCTGCCAGTAATCCCTGAGGTTTCGTTTGAGAGACGGCTTAAGATCAAGGGCCGGGATCGATATGGATGTAATGGCGGTGCTCTCATGAACGGATGCAGCGAGCTGATCCGCCCTCACGTTGCCTTGGATCTCACGGTGCCCTGGCACCCAGCACACTACAACATGTTGTTTGAGTGTGTAGAGTGTGCACAAAATGGAGTAAAGTGAGACAAGGACCGGGTTTTTTTGTTCTTTAAGACTGTGCAGAGCCGTTACCACACTGAGGGAATCTGTATAAAGTACTGCTTTTTGTATTTGTAATTGTTTGATGTGTTTAGCTGCCACAAGTATCGCGTAAGCTTCCGCTGTGAAGATACTTGTGCGTGGATGTAGAGGGCCAGCATCCGAAAAGGACGAGCCGACAACAGCGTAGGACACAGAGGAGTTAGTCCTGGAGGCATCTGTGAAGAACTCAGGTCGTGTGTATTTGTGTTGAAGTTCCAAAAAGTATGTTCGGATATGGGCAATAGGTGCATGTTTTGTTAACTTCTAGGAAAGACACATCGCATTCTATAGTCTGCCACTGCCACGGTGGCGGGTATGCTACAGGTGCCATTAAACTGTGTTCAAGTGACACTGCAGTTTCTTCAGCTAGACACTTCAGGCGAACTGAGAAGGCCTGCCTCATCGAAGGCCTGTTTTGAAACAGAGTTGAGCTCGACAAATCATTAATTGTAGAGTATGAGGGGTGCTACTTGTCTGCTTTCACCTCAAGGAAATAAACAAAGGACATGTAAGTTCTCTGCAGATGAAGCGACCACTCATTTGACTCAACATAAAGGCTTTCTACGTGCTGGTGCGAAAAGCACCCGTAGAAAGGCGGAATGCCCAAATGGTGCACGGGGTCCAGCATCTTCAAGGCACTTTGAGTAGCAGACTGATAGACAACGGCCCCATAATCTAAGCGGGTGCGAATGAGGCTTCTATAGAGGTTCATGAGGCATTGCCTATCACTACCCCACGTAGTATGTGACAACACTTTTATAACGTTCATGGCTTTTAAACATTTTGTTTTTAAATACTTGATGTACGGTACGAAGGTCAACTTGTTGTCCGAGATTAAGCCTAAGAATTTATGCTCGGCTTTGACGGACAGACGTTGCCCGTTCAGTCGAATGTCAGGTTCCGAGTGCATGCCTCTCTTTTGAGAGAACAAGACACACGTGCTTTTTTGTGGGTTAAGTCGAAATCCGTTTTCATCTGCCCATTTGGAGACCTTATTTAAACCCAGCTGAACCTGCCGCTCACATATGGCCAAGTTGCATGACTTGAAGCCAAGCTGAACGTCGTCGACATATGTACAATAGAACATATTGCAGGGAATGGACAAGTGCAAAGAATTCATTTTGATAATAAAAAGTGTGCAACTAAGCACGCCACCTTGTGGCACGCCTGTTTCCTGGACAAATGTTTGGGAGAGCACACTGCCCAGACGGACACGGAATGTCCGGTTTGACAGGTAACTTTCGATTATATGAAACATTCTTCCGCGCACACCAAGGTGGGACAGGTCTCTTAGAATTCCGAAACGCCATGTTGTATCATATGCCTTTTCGATATCGAGGAACACAGAGAGAAAATATTGTTTATGGACGAAGGCGTCTCTGATCTGTGCCTCGATACGAACAAGGTGGTTTGTGGTGGATCTACTTTCGCGAAACCCGCACTGAAATGGGTCGAGCAAATTGTTTGTTTCAAGGATATATACAAGTTGGCAGTTTATCATTTTTTCGAATACTTTACACAAGCAGCTTGTAAAGTGCAATAGGCCTATAACTTGAAGCTAAAGAAGGGTCCTTGCCCTCTTTCAAAATGGGAATAATAATAGCCTCTTTCCAGGAAGGTAGGGATAGTGCCAGAAAACCAGATAGCATTGTACAAACAAAGTAGGGTTTTTCGTGTTTCGGCTGGTAGGTTTTTTAACATTTCATACACCACACTGGTCAGAACCTGGGGCAGAAGTACTGCAGGAGTTTAGAGATATTCGTAGCTCCGCTAGACTGAAAGCTTGGTTACATGCCTCGTATCTAGTGGATTTGTGTTTCTGCTTTTCTATTCTTGTTCTGTATTTTTGGGAAGTGTCAGTATAGTGGGACGAGCTGGATACCCGTTCAAAATGTGCCCCGAGGAAGTTTGCCTGATCTTCCGAGGTATCACCTTGAGTGTTTACGAGTGGAAGTGTGTGTACTTGTTTCCCTGCTATCCTACCGACCATGTTCCAGACCTTGGCCTCTTTTGTGTATGAATTGATCCCTGACAAAAACTTCTGCCAGCTTTCTCTTCTGGCCTGCCAACGCGTTCTCCTAGCTTGAGACTTTATTTTCTTGAAGGTGTCAAGATTTTCGGCTGTCGGTGAGTTCCGAAGCAGCCTCCAAGCTCTGTTTTGCTGTTTCGCGCGTTTCGGCATTCAGAGTTCCACCATGGCACACGCCGTTTTCCAGGGTGTCCATTTGTTTGTGGGATGCAATTTTGTTGCAGCATTAATCAAAAACGCTGTGAAGAAGTTGACAGCAACATCAATGTTCAAAGTACATATGTCATTCCAACCTAGACGAGCGATGGTATAAAACTGTTCCCAGTCTGCTTTGTTTATGAGCCACTTGGGAACACGTGGTGGACACTCAGTTACTGTATTTGTGCTCAAAACTACGGGGAAGTGGTCACTTCCGTACAGATTACCGACGACTTTCCACTGGAGTAGAGACACAAGAGATGGAGATACTATGCTTAGGTCTATGGAGGAGTAGGTGTTATTGGCGAGATTATAATAGATTGGTTCTTTTCGATTTAGGAGACACGCGCTCGACGAGAGAAGGAACTGTTCGATCAGTCGACCTCGCGCGTCATACCGAGAATCACCCCATAGCCTGCTATGCGCATTAAAGTCTCCAAGGAGAACATAAGGTTCCGGAAGTTCATCAATAAAAGAGTCTAAATCACGTTTTTGCAGCTGATAACTAGGAGAAATGTAAATAGTGCAGATTGTGATCAGTTTATCAAAAAGAACCGCTCGAACAGCCACTGCCTCAAGGGATGTTTGGAGTTGTGTGCGCATGCAATTCCTTGAGTCACTATCATGGCAACACCTCCGGATGATGTCATGGCATCATCACGGTCCTTTCGAAAAATAACATATTTACGAAGAAAATTTGTGTGTTTTGAATTAAGGTGTGTTTCTTGTACACACAGCACTTTTGGTGAGTGTTCATGTAAGAGTTTTTGGATGTCGTCAAGGTTTCTGAGAAGGCCCCTGACGTTCCATTGTATAATTTGAGTGTTCATGGTGAATGTAAAATAATGCTGTATGTAAGAAAAGCGAGTGGCTGTTTAGACGGGGAGTTTGAGTTCACTTAACAGGGCCGTCACCAGGCCCTGTTATTTGCTTTTTTGTTTTCTTGGCGCGCTCCAAGGAGCCACGCCGCTCTTTCGGCACCAAGGGTACCGACGTATCCATTGCCTCCTCGGAGGCACTGGATGCCCGCACGTGCGGGCTGTTAGTTCGGATTTTGGGCCTCGCCTGGTGAGGGGAGGCCTTGAGACCCGAAGACTCTGGAGTCTCTGGTCTCTGTTTGGGAGTAGGCGGTGTAGCCTGGGCTACAGCCGCCTTGGGGGCAGGTGCCACAACCGCTGGCTCGGTATGCGCGGGCCGAAGGAGCGGCGAGGGCTGGTGCGGCGGTGCCCCCTGACGCGCCGCATCAGCGTATGTAGGTCCATAGAATGGAGCGACTCTTCGCCGTGCTTCCTTAAACGTAATGTTCTCCTTCACCTTCAATGTAATTATTTCTTTTTCTTTTTTCCAGTATGTGCAGGAGCGTGAATATGCGGCATGGTTTCCTTCGCAGTTTACACGGTGTGGCAGGTTGTTTGCAGTTCTCAGACACGTGGCCTAAGACTCCACATTGTGCACAAGTCTGGTGACCACGACATGTTTTAGAGCCATGGCCATACCTCTGGCATTGGAAGCAACGACGAGGGTTTGGTATGTACGGCCTGATAGATGTCTTTGTGTACCCTGTTTGAATGGAATCTGGTAGTTTACTGGATGCAAACGTGAGTATCAAGTGTTTCGTTGGTATTTCCTTATTATCTCTTCTGATGATAATTCTCTGTACATTATTGACATTTTGGCTCTTCCACCCTTCCAAAAGTTCAGTTTCGGTGAGTTCAAGTAAGTCTGCATCAGATACCACTCCGCGAGTGATGTTCATGGATCTGTGTGGTGTTACGGTGATCGGTACGTCACCAAACGTTGAGAGGCTGTCTAGCTTTACAAATTGTGCTTTGTCCCGAATTTCGAGAGGAAGGTCTCCGCTAGCCATTTTGGTTACTTTGTATCCAGCTCCGAGAGTTTCAGTAAGACACCTGGCAACTACGAAAGGAGATACGGTCCTGGCTTGCTTTCCGGTTTTTTCACACTGAATGACGTGGAAGTGGGGAAAAGTTTCTATTGGCTGGTTGAAGAAATTTATGTCGTCGGTGCGTACCCGCTTTAGGCCGGTACGATCAGACAGTTGAGGGAATGCTCCATGCATGCCGGTCTTATTTTTGTTCAGCAGTGTTGGCGGCCACCCACCACGGAGCCTAACAAGGGGACGCTGCAAGTTTGCAGGTGCTGAAAGCTTGCAGACGTCAGCCGTACAACACTGCCATAACCCAATGCGCCTAGACCAAGGTAGGCTATTTGCACAGGGTTCACCCTTGCCGCCAGGAAAATTGGAAGTAAACAGAAGAGAGAAGTAGACAGGAAAGCTAAAAAAGTAAGAAAGACGAAGATGTAGGGAGAGAGAGATAGGAAAAGGCGGCTGCCGATTTCCCCTGGGTAGGTCAGCCCAGGGGTGCCGTCTACGTGAAGCCGGGGCCAAGGGGTGTGTTGCCTCTGCCGGGGGGCCTTAAAGGTCCAATCACCCAGCGTTAGCTCAACCCCCAGGATCCCCTTTTCCCCGGGCACGGCAAAGCCACGCACGGCTAGGCGTGGGAGGGAGTAGAAACTCCCCCGTTAGCTCGGGTCCGTGGTGTCGCTACACACCAAACGCCTACTTGCGCAGGCGCCTCTGCGGGGGGGCCGATATATCTCTTTCCTTGTAGTAACTTTTCTTTTTGAAGTTGATTAGCTTTTATGACGTATGGAAGTTGTTGCAGGTATTTATGCAGTGTCTTAGTTTCATATACTGACGTGATTTGAAGTTAAATTGAATTCGCGATGGAGACAACCGAGTTGGCGTCCATCTCTTTTAAGGACTATATTCGCATTGTTCGTAGACTGACAAGCCGCACAATGGATAGAGAGAAAAATGCCTTGAGGAGAATCAACTGACGCAGCGCTTTCACGTGACTAGTGCGAGCCCTGCCAACACCTGCCATGCAGGCTGAGAGCTTTCATTAGCCTTTTTCACAAATGAATGGCAACATCCAACATATGGGCACTGTTCCACGCAGCACAAACCAGATTCGCAGCATAAAAATCGTCACATTCTTTCTAAAATTTGTGGTGATCAGATGTGCGGTAATCAGTTCGCAAGTCTACACCACTTCACTGCGCTTTGGTGGTGGGTTCCCTTCACATTCCCAAGATGTGTTATTGGGCAGCCTTCAGGCAGCTTGCAAAACAATACTGCCATCTTCCTTCCTCAAGGCCTGGGAGTCACTTTTGTCGTCAACTTACTGCTGTGTTCAGGCTGAAGTGACTATCTGGGCCTAAACGGTCGTGGCAAGCTTTTGGCCCTCACCCTTCGAACCGCTGGTAAAATGAAGTCAATGACCTCATACTGTGGTCAATGAAGTTGTTTCTCTTTCTCTTTCACTATGCTTGATTGTATGCTGTTGTAAGAAGGAGAGGTGAGAAAAAAATTAAAGCAAAAACTTGGCAAATGCTAATAAAAAACTCGCGTGCACACGCTACGTTTACGTGCGTTTTGGTGCAATTTTTCTGTTCTGAGCACCGTTCATAAGTCAGCTGCACGATGTTACGAAGTCATCTTGATCGAAGCTTACCTGTTGTAGTATTTATGTTAAGATAAGCTTATATATGTTAGTATGACCTGAGCACTCCCTAATTTCAGCCAACGGCCAACCATTCACCCAATAAATATGTCTTTGGTAAGAAAACTGCAAAAACGTCCTCGCAAAATTGGCGACATCAGTGTTTCACGAGCTTAAAGATCATGATAAATCAAATAAATCCTAGCTTTGCGTTCTCGTGGTGGAAATTATTTAAGTTTAAAAACGCTTCCAATTATGGAGATAACCGTATTCCTTCACAACATAACAGCTTGAAGCAATTTCTTTTCGCGAGCGACAGGGCGTCGCGTATGGCATATATGGTGCAATTCTAAATCTCTTGTTTGCCCATGAGACCTTTCAAGAAACCAAGAGCGCGATCTGGTCCCACTACATAAAATAATGCAGCCGCTGTTTATATGGTAGAATGGCGTATGGCAGCCGCAAATGGTGTGTACCGTCGCAACATTTATTTATAGGAAGCCAGCACGAAATCTACAGACACAAGCGGGTGAGGGCAGCATAGAATGAAGAGGTAATCGATGCTCGCAAATTGTGTTGAGGTTTCATTTTCACCATCATATGATCTGTTGGCTTGCAAAGTTCTGCTCACTTACCTTTTATTTTGCTTGTAATTGTAATGCATAATAATGTGGAAATCGCTGCCGCGTCATCAAAGCGGCCTGGCGTGATTACATTAGTCAAAACAAGTTCCACAACACGATTCTACGCCCTCCTACTCGCTGGCTATCACCCTCCGGACCACCGTGTTGGTTTACCTTGCGCGCCACTGCGGACAGTACGAATGGACAACATGGTCCACTCAGTAGAACCGCACCTGCACGCATGCACTCGAACCTCGCACGCAGATTCACAAGAGTGGTCAAGCTTTACAGGAGGAGGGTCGACGGATGGCAAGTACCTGTGTGCCCTTGCTTTTCGCTTTCTTGGCCTTGCTCCTGATGGGCTGCAAGTACGGAGAGGTGCGAGTTGTGAGTAGAAGAGGTGCTCCAATCAACACCCCAGGAGGGCGACCCGTGGCCAGGCACCTCGCTGCCGACACGACACATCGGCGCAGCGCTGACCAGTGGGCTACCACACGTAGCATGGTCAACGCGCCGTGCGCCCCGGCAGAACCGAGCTTGCCGCTCACTGCAGCTGCACGAGTAGCAACTTAACACGAGCCACACGCGCTTTCAGCAGGCGCGTTTCTGCAGCGAAGAAGACGATCTCAACGAGGTCTTGCCAGCCGAGTCACTGGTAGGTGTTCTGTGGCCGAGTGAGCACCACGTGCACGAAAAGTTGATTATCAAAGACGAGACGTAGGCAGAATTATGGCCTTCGAGATTGGAAACGTGCGCATGCTTCCCATCTCGAAGGTTAAGGTAATACCACCGCAATGAAAGTAAGCGACCACCGCCATGAGGCGGTAGGCAATTACGAGCGATTAGAAATTAAGCCTAACGTTTTTAGAACTAGGTAGTTCTAGAAACGTTGACTTGCGTTAGGAGCTCACCGGAATGCACAAAATCGGGGAGTACAACATGGAGGAAGGAAAAACTATTTTTTTCTTTCCTCTATGGAGTACAATCTTTCCAGCGTAGGATCATTAAGAAAATCGTCAACCGACGCAGCAATCCAGCTCTCCAACATAGAGGGCAGGCTGAACGATGCCGAAGATAGGTCGCGTACGTCGGTGCAATTTTGTTTTCTATGGAATCCCCGAAAAAGAAGAAGAAACTTGGGCAGACAGTGAAGGGTTTGTTGCTGACATTTGCAAGAAGCACATCCAAATTAAGCTTTTGCCGAACGATATCGAAAGAGCGCACAGAATCGGAAAACGTCAACCGGAAAAACCACGCCCGGCAATTGTTAACTTCTCCCAGCTCAAAATAAAAGAATCAATCTTATCTAACGGTTTCAAACTGAAAGATACACCGTACAGTGTAGGTCAGGATTGCTTCGCTACCCGCACTGCCCAGAGAGAGCTCCTACGCTTCGCACGTGAGCACGGCGGCCCTTTCAAGCTTCGTTACAAGAAGGTAGTAATCGGAAAAAAATTGTACCACTATAAAGACGCAAAAGAAGTCAAAGAAATTTTTCCACGCGACAGCTTGCGATTTCGCAACCCAGTAAAAATATCGCCAGTTACCTCACCCTCTCGCCATATCCAGAATCACCCCGCTAAACATTCAAATGAGCCCCGCCGCGGTGGTCTAGTGGCTAAGGTACTCGGCTGCTGACCCGCAGGTCGCGGGTTCAAATCCCGGCTGCGGTGGCTGCATTTCCGATGGAGGCGGAAATGTTGTAGGCCCGTGTGCTCAGATTTGTGTGCACGTTAAAGAACCCCAGGTGGTCATAATTTCCGGAGCCCTCCACTACGGCGTCTCTCATAATCAAATGGTGGTTTTGGGACGTTAAACTCCACATATCAATCAATCAAAACATTCAAATGACGTCACCTTTTCTATTCTCTACACAAACATAAGAAGTATCATGCCGAAACGCGATGAAATATGTACCATAATTGAATCATCTGATTGTGACGTCGTGATGCTGACAGAAACATGGCTTTCACCTTCCATCAAAGATTCTAAATTTCTTTCATACCTAACCAATTTCGCATTGCATCGCCAAGACCGTTTATCCGGTCGAGGTGGTGGCATGCTCATCGCTTTTATACATACAATCCGTCACTTCATAATTAGCAATACCAGTCCAGTGGAAGCCCTTTGGGTAGCTTGCGAAAGTTCCCATGGGCTGATCATACTAGGTGTCTGTTACCACCACCCCCTCCCCCCCAAAATCAGAGCCCAACTTTAACATCAACCTTAACGACACCCTCGACAAACTACACAAAGTATCCCCGTGCAAAATATATAATTTGCGGGGACTTCAATTATTCGTCCATATAATGGTAAAACAACGTTTCCCTTCGCAGCGGTGAATGCGGCTATTTGCTAGCCTGATTAGAAAACTACCAACTAACACAAGTAATAACTTATGCCACCAGGGAAACATCACACAGCTCTAATAAATTAGACCTTATTCTAATGTCGGATCCAAGTAGCCTGCATTCTCTTCATTACCTTAAAGTAATAAGTGATCACAAAATTATTCTTGCCTCTTTCAGTTTTACTTTTCCAGAAAATAAGCCTACACCAAAGCAGATAAAACTCTACGGTCGTGGCAATTATGAAAAGATTAACAGCAAACTTGAACAGTTTTACATTTCATACGAACAGGGATTCAACAAGCGCACCGTAGAAAACAATTGGAAGTTATTAGTCAAAACACTCAACCAACTAACTGATGCATATATACCAAGCATAAAAACTAAAACTAAACATCCGCCCTTTGGTTTAACAACGCAATTAAAAAACTGATGAACCAGAAAAAACGCCTGTTCAGACGTGCCAAAAAACAGAATCAACCGTCCTTATGGAAAGAATATTCCGACTCTGTGCGATGCCTGTCGATTAACATTCAAAACGCGAAACGTGATTTTTTTCGATCAACACTACCAGACATGCTCGAAATTCTGGCAAACAATAAACCCAAGAAACATCTCGCCGATAACCTTATCCGGTACTAATGACAAACCGTTCAGTGACGTAGATTCGGCCAATGCCTTAAGCTGTGCCTTTTGTTCTGTTTTCACGCGTGAACATAGCAATTTTGCGAACTCCGGAGAGAACTTTAAATCTATTATGAGCGAGCCAATGTCACCTATTAAAATATCTGCAAATGGAATAAGTAACGTAATTATAAAAATGAAACTCCCATCTGCAAGTGGAATAGATAACATCAACAGAAAAATAAAGAATACACAATTGATAATTAGTGCAGCATTTCAGGTACTCTTCTCTCAATCACTTTCACAGGAACAGGTGCCAAGTGATTGGAAACTCGGTAAAATCACTCCATTGTTCAAAATGGTAACAAAGCATCCCCATATAACTACCGGCCCATATCGCTTAGAAGTGTCCCATAAAATTATGGAGCACATTTTATTTACCAACATCGTTAATCACCTCGAACAGCACAACTTCATTCACCCTTCCCAACATGGTTTTCGAAAAAGCCTGTCGTGTGAAACGCAACTTACTGCCTTCATCCATGACTTGCACACAAATCTTGACCGGTACATTCAAACTGACACCATATTTCTTGACTTTGAAAAGGCTTTTGATAAAGTTCCTCACCACCGCTTTATGGCCAAACTTTCTTTGCTTAATCTCGACCCATTCGTATTGTCCTGGATTAACGACTTTCTCACTGACAAAAAACAGTTCGTCGTCATAAATACAGCTAGGTCTCAAATCTCTCCCGTCCTCTTCGGTGTTCCCCAGGGAACAGTACTTGGCCCCCTGCTTTTCCTGATTTACATCAACGACCTTCCACACTGTATTACTAAAAACATAGGAGTATTCGCTGACGATTGCGTTATTTACGCCACAATCGCTTGTCATAAAGATCAAATAGCTTTACAAGCACACCTAACAGCCTTTCAAAATTGGTGTTACAAGTGGCAGATCAGTTTACACATTTCTAAATGTAGATAAGTGTCTTTTCACATACGTACTGATCCGTTTAAGTACAACTACGCTCTACATAACAATTTTCTACAACCGACTAGCTCGTATAAATACCTTGTAATACATATCTCAAGTGACCTATCATGGACCCTCTACATCAATCACCTCATTCCAACAGCTAGTAGATCTTTAGGTTATATCCTGTTACGACCATCCTCGTTATTGACGTTTTTCGGCCTTTGTGAACTGAACGAAAATATTTCGATGCATTCCAAGGGAGGGTGTGCTGTCAAGACGGGTGGTTTCCTGTCAGCAAAACGTGAAAAGGACCGGTCTGTGCAAGGAAAGCACACCAGCCAAGAAAGGCCATTGTGAGCTCGACTCTATGCAAAGCTTTCCAGGTAAACAGGGAAGCAGCTGGGCCATTTTGAGGTCACCGAAGATCTAAAAAGATTCGAACCAGAACCAGCGTGGTATTTGCAGTTTGGGCTGAAAGCTAAAACCAAACTGGTTGTGGCTGCATCTCGCGATGAGAAGGATATTCGCAGCTAAGCCCCGGCTCCTAGCAAACAAAGAGGAATGAAATGTGGGGTTGAAGAAAAAGATAATGCACTATATGCTGCAGCCCTTGCCCGAGCCCACCTGGGCCACGAGGGATTAGTTGACTACTCCTCCTTCCCCCCTTTCTCCATAGGATCGGCTGAATGGGATGGCATATTTTGAGGATATGCTGGCCCACCACTACATTGTCCTACCCAAACAGTCAAGCAAGTTTGACACGTGTACTGGCAGCCGGTTTTTCGAACCTCACCCAGCTACCAGAAGAGTCTTGGAAACCAAGGTCTGCTAAGATCATCGGACGTGCACGAAACTTGGTGACGTGGGCGAAAACGTCGGTGCAGTGCGTTTGGGACCATATTTGGGCATCGTGTAGACTGTGCCCTCTCCGCATGCATTGTGTCGTGTCTTTCCTCTCCTTCGTGGCTTTAGCACTTAGACCATAAAGCGCCCTATTGGCGGAAGCCGCGGACAATGTGCCCAGGGTTGGCAACGAGGCGCTATATAAGCCGAATACTTTCGTGTATTTAAATCTCTACAGTTCAACAGTTCTCATCTACAGTTCTTGGCTTCTACTTGATCACCTGATCACCTCTTTTCAAATTCTCAGTTAGTAACCATGTAAATAAATTGTCGTTTTTACGAGCGCCTCAACTGACTTGTTCGACGATAGGTCCAAGGACGAGTGCCCGCTACCAAACTGAGACCCGCAGGACCAGGAGTCGCAACAACTGGTGGTAGCGGTGGGATAGCGTCAACCCAGGTCGCAACCACTGGATTCAGCGGAGAGATGGTGTCAACCCAGGTAGCAACGACTCGACGACAGCAGTCAGATGCTACGACCCCATCGACTTCGAGAGGCGACACGACGACAACGGTCGGATGCTCCGAGCTCATCGACTTGAGAGGCAGCCGAACGGCACTTCAGGGATGACACGAGGTCATCGACTGCGAGAGGCAACCGGAAGGCACTGTTAAGATGCACGACGCTGGAGGCATGACTGCGAGCCGGGTGAGTGCCGACTATCTCTGTTAAAGTTCACCAGGCATTTACTAATGTGTGAGTAAAAGCTGGTAGGGAGCACAGCTTATTTGGTCATTGTGTAACTAGCGTCAGGCAGATTGTGAGATAGCTTGTTTAAGCTATAGTCTGTGGTGACGGCAAGGTTAACAGTGACAGAGCTATTTTAGTCTTCAGGTTAACAGATAACTGGCGTCGGGCAGATAATTGTGAGATAGCTTGTTTAAGCTATAGTCTGTGGGTGACGGCAAGGTTAACGGTGACAGGGGTGTTTTAGTCATATGGTTAACAGATAACTTGCGTCGTGCAGATAATTGTGAGATAGCTTGTTTGAGCTATAATCTGTAGGTGATGACAAGGTTAACAGTGACAGAGCAGGATTCCGTGTAAGAGCTTAAGGAAGCTTTTGCAGACTAAGTTTACAGGTAACTTGAGGCAAGGCAGAAAACTAGGGCTGTCGTTGTTGTCAGGGTTAATTAGCTGCAAGACAGGAATCATTTGTGGAACAGAGAACAGTATCGGAAGCAGTCATGAATCTGAAAGCCCCGCGAAAACCCGTATTGCTAGCGATCGCAGAGGAGTTGAAACTGAATGTGCCGGACTCCCCAAACAGAACGGAACGGATCGAGCGGATCGTCGGGACAGGGACAAGCAATGAGGACCTCTCAGAGTATGCCGAGAGCATTCAGGAGGCAGAAGCCGAAAGGATACGTTTACACGAAGCTACGATGCAGGCCTTTTCCGAGAGGATAGAAAGGTCGAATAATCGCATTAGGGAACGGCATCAGGATCGTCGTCCGTCGTGTCTATGTAAAGTATGTGTAGAGCCCCAAAGGTGCGGTGAAGTGGCGAGTATGGTGCAGTGTGAAGTCACCGAGAAAGCCACTGTTTGCGAAGTACCGCCCGATAAAGGTACGCGTCTCTATCAGTGCGACATGCAAAGTGATCCTTCGGTGGAGAGAAAAGAGCAACAGGTCATTGTTAGCATAACTGCGCCTAGGGAAAGTACGCGACTCTCCGATGGTGCGAAGGTGGTGCATGTAGAGAGTGGGACGGGGGATGGTATGCAAACTGTAGCAAGTACAAAGGGTGTTTCATGTGAGACCGAGGCTGGTTCCAGTTGCCCTGATAGGGTAATTGAACAGATTGATGAGCTGGAGACCACGCTCGAGCCTCCGCAAGGGAATGACCTTTCGGACGTTGAAAGAGAGGACAACGAAGGTAGTCTTAAATGTAACGAAGACATAACGCTACCGAAACCCAACAGTAATGCCAGCGAGGGCGAGTTACTGTTGAAAGCATTTCCTACAGATATAGTGGGAAATGTTTCAGAGGGTGAGAAGGTACATTGCGAGGCTGTCGTTAGGTGTACAAACAGGCACAAGTTCGGTGGAGGATTGTTTCGAGGAAAAGTCTAATCCCAGCTGCATGAACAGAGATTGTGTGTTGTTAGAGACATGCCTCGTGCAGTGGCACGTAAACGATCGACCAGATGGTGAACACTATCCGGAAATCGAGCAAGACGCTAATTTCCAAGAGCTCAGATCTGTGGAGGGCCCAGAGTCTGGTTTTGCGAGGGGTAGCGCAGACAAATTAGCCCGACAGAGCAATGGAGCGGGGAAAGCAAAGGGCGAAGACTGCAGAAAGGGTGGTGCACAGGCCCACCTGAACTGTAGGATTGCCGATGACGCAACCAAGGAAGTTTGTAACAACCAAAGAAAGGTTGCACGTAAGCGTCACTGCAAAAGAAGGAAGCGGGGACGTGCGGCACCACAAAAGGTGGAGGCAGAGGGCACGCCGCAGCGAAAACGGAAGGGTCGGCCATCGGGCAATTCTACAAACCGTACTTCGCGGCGTATGGTCAGGCGAATTTGGCGAGAGAGGAGTAGCGGAAAGGGACGCGCGTCCCCAAGAAGGAAGGCGCGGTTGAAAGGGACAGGTTTGCGTCGACAACGATGTCAACAAGTTCTTAAAAAAAAGGCTGCTAGTCCTAAAATTCAGGGTGGAACCAAACACCAAAGGAAAATGGCATTTCTTTCCTCCGCACTTCTGGAATCTTCGGTGTTACGAAGAAAGCCGGCCAGAATCAGCACTGAGGCGAGATAGCAAAGTTGGGCTAGGAGCTCGCGCTCATTGTGGCCTCTGGCGATCGCGAATGCGGCAGAGAACACGACCGCCACGTGCACGACTAAAAGCATGAAGGTCGGCTGCAAGCTTTTTGCAGAATGCAGCTCAGAATTTTTGGAAATCAGTTTTTTTCAATATTTTTCTAGTTTTGAGCCTTTGAAGTAAAGTTTTCTTTTGTATGTAAGGTTTGATAAGAAAACAAAGACTGGTTTCGAAGGGTTTATGCTAAACGCAGATTGTGTCACATTTGCAATCAAATGCGCGTTTAGAAGATTTTTAGATGATACGCAAGCGTACGTTTGGTCCTGAAACGTTACAGCACTCTATAAGTGTGAATATAGCTAACGCACCTGAAGGAACCCAGCGCTTTCTTTATCCAAGAGGCTGGCATGATAAGGAAACATTAACCAAACAAGTCTATTACGCAAGGTTTAGTTCCATCACTTTAGTTTTTTGCTTAAGTATCGTGTGATAGTTTAAACGGAGCGTTACGCGTAACCGAAAGTCGAGGAAGGAGCGACATTTCTGACCGTTGTAAGACGCAGCCGAATCTAGTGTGAAAGATTTGAGTCTGTCAGGGTGTGTTCTACTAGACACGTAACGAACGGTGTTGTTTGAGCTTGGATTATAGCAAGCGCAAAAGATGGCACGAAGGCTTCAGTTTTTCTTCGTGTGTAAACGGAACTCATGCGAGAATTCTTTGTTTTTAGCTTTTCATTGTTTTGCAAGTGTCCTGTTTAGGTGGTGGAAAAGCCTAGCTTACCTAGATTACTAAGTTATTTAGAGGTGTATCACTGTTCGCTCTCGGGCCTATTGTCTTTGTTCTCTAAGAATGGCCGCCTGCTGCGTTGAAGCCTCGTTTTGCAACAGTATACGTTTGACATACGTTTCAAAAAGAGGGATACCCCATGGCAACGCTGAGTGTTTAAGTCGCTGTCCCTGACGCGAACGGCATTCTCGAGAGTTTTGAAATACTTTTTTCTTGACCTAGACGAGGAGGATTGATTAGGTTTTGTTGTTTTGTTGCGTTTAAGAGTTCGTTGAACACATGGTGAGTACATTGAAGACACCACTTTTTTTCAGGTTGGGTGTGCTTCCAGTACGGTAATTCGTATGAAACGCAACTTACTGCCTTCATCTATGACTTGCACACAAATCTTGACCGTAACATCCAAACTGACGCCATATTTCTTAACTTTGAAAAGGCTTTTGATAAAGTTCCTCACCACCGCATTATGGCCAAACTTTCTTTGCTTAATCTCGACCCATTCGTCTTGTCCTGGATTAACGACTTTCTCACTGACAGAAAACAGTTCGTCGTCATAAATACAGCTAGGTCTCAAATATCTCCCGTCCTCTTCGGTGTTCCCCAGGGAACAGCACTTGGCCCCCTGCTTTTCCTGATTTACATCAACGACCTTCCACACTGTATTACTAAAAACATAAGATTATTCGCTGACGATTGTGTTATTTACGCCACAATCACTTGTCATAAAGATCAAATAGCTTTACAAGCAGACCTAACACCCTTTCAAGATTGGTGCCACAAGTGGCAGATGAGCTTACACATTTCTAAATGTAGATCAGTGTCTTTTCACGGACGTACTGATCCGTTTAAGTACAACTACGCTCTACATAACAGTTTTCTACAACCGACTAGCTCGTATAAGTACCTTGTAATACCGTATAGTACCTTGGTCAAGTGACCTATCATGGACCCTCCACATCAATCACCTCATTCCAACAGCTAGTAGATCTTTAGGTTATATCCTGTTACGACCGTCCTCGTTATTGACGTTTCTCGGCCTTTGTGAAGTGAACGAAAATATTTCAATGCATTCCAAGGGAGGGTGTTCTGTCAAGACGGGTTGGTTTCCTGTCAGCAAAACGTGAAAAGGGGTCCAGGACTGGTCTGTGCAAGGAAAGCACACGAGCCAAGAAAGGCCATTGTGAGCTGGACTCTATGCAAAGCTTTCCAGGTAAACAAGGAAGCAGCTGGGCCATTTTGAGGTCACCGAAGATCTAAAAAGATTCGAACCAGAACCAGCGTGGTATTTGCAGTTTGGGCTGAAAGCTAAAACCAAACTGGTTGTGGCTGCATCTCGCGATGAGAAGGATATTCGCAGCTAAGCCGCTGCTCCTAGCAAACAATGAGGAATGGAATGTGGGATTGAAAAAAAGGAATAAGGCACTATCTGTTGCAGCCCTTGCCGGAACCCATCTCGGCGACGAGGGATTAGTTGACTACTCCTCCTTCCCCCCTTTCTCCATAGGATCGGCTGAATGGGGTGGCATATTTTGACAATATGCTGGTCCACCACTACATTGTCCTACCCAAACAGTCAGGCAAGTTTGACACGTGTACTGGCAGCCGGTTTTTCGAACCTCACCCAGCTGCTAGAAGAGTCTTGGAAACCAAGGTCTGCTAAGATCATCGGACGTGCACGAAACTTGGTGATGTGTGCGAAAACGTCGGTGCAGTGCGTTTGGGACCATATTTGGGCATCGTGTAGACAGTGCCCTCTCCGCATGCATTGTGTCGTGTCTTTCCTCTCCTTCGCGGGTAGAGCACCTAGACCATCGAGCGCCCTATTGGCGGAAGCCGCGGACAATGTGCCTAGGGTTGACAACGAGGCGCTATATAAGCTGAAGACTTTCGTGTATATAAATCTCTACAGTTCAACAGTTCTCTTGTACAGGTCTTGACTTCTACTTGATCACTTGATCACCTCTTTTCAAATTCCTAGTTAGTAACCATGTAAATAAGTTGTTGTCGTTTTTACGAGCGCCTCAACTCACTTGCTCGACAATGGGTCCTAGAACGGGGGCCCGCTACCAAACTGAGACCCGCAGCACCCGGAGTC